TATGGTAGGAAGGGCAGCAGCCTGGGAATAAGAATATCTGAACTGAGTTCTTTTACTAATTAGCTGTTTTGCCATGGACAGGTGCCTTAACCTTCAAGGGCAAAGTTTTCTTCTCTATAAAAAGAGGTTGTGCTCGATGATCTGACAGGGTTCTTGGCACTTTGCCACTACATGTAAGTGAGAATCTCTCTGGAGTGTCACATTTTTTTTCTTTTTCTTTTCTTTTTCTTTTTTTTTTTTTTTCTGGAGACAGAGTCTTGCTCTGTCACCAGGCTGGAATGCAGTGGTGCAATCTCGGCTCACTGCAACCTCCGCCTCCCAGTTCAAGCAATTCTCCTACCTCAGCCTCCTGTATAGCTGGGATTACAGGTGCGCTCCACCACGCCCAACTAATTTTTGTATTTTTAGTAGAGACAAGGTTTCACCGTGTTGGTCAGGCTGGTCTCGAACTCCTGACCTCATAGTCTGCCCGCCTTGGCCTTCCAAAGTGCTGGGATTACAGGCATGAGCCACCACACCCTGCCCCATCTTTTTTTCACTCTTGATTAAAGCTAGGCACATTTATATCCTTCTCACACGTTTATTCTATTAGAATTTCTCTCTCTTTATGAATGAATGAATATTATTCTTATATCTTGGATAGAGGGTTTGCACAAAGAAACTGAAGTTGCCATGCTGGAGGGACTTTGGTCAAATATTACATAAAATTTGGCATTCAAGAATAACTAAAGCCCAAGATAGAAATCCAAGTTGAGAACCACTAATTACTTAAATCAGGTAAAGACACAGCTCCATAAAACAAAAATCAGAGTTAGAGTCACCAAAGAAAATGTGGGTAAGGACTTGGCAAAATCAGAATCATCATCAGTATGGGCTGTGGTTGAGACATTAATGGAGTGGGAGCTTGCTTTCCATATTGGGTGTTCAGTCTTCCTTCCATTTCACAATGAATTACTTTCTAATTGATGCTACTTTAGATTCCAAAGATATTAAAATTAAAATACATGTTTTCTAACATCTATAATCTTAACGCTCTTATGAATAAAATGACTAAAAACTGAAAAAATGTATTTATTGAATACTGATCGAATGCCAGTCCTTGTCTCAAGCACATGACATGAATTATTTAATATAATAATTTTGAAGTATGGATGTTACTATTAGTTAAAAACATTGAAGGTTAAAGAGATTTAGAAGATAATTGATGGTAAACTGGCCAGATTTGACTGTGTCCAAAGGTCATGTTTTTATATCTTCAGTTTTATTTTCTCCATCAGAGACCCATATGCATATGTCCACATTTGTTATTAAAAATTTTAAACACATGAATTAGGGGAAAGAAGACTAATTTAAATATATGTAATCTCATACTAAATGATAAACTCTATGTCCTTCAGATTCTTTATAAGCACATATTTATATAAAATTTATCCATAAAAATTAAGTTTTACAGTGTATGTTTTCTCTTTTTTTTTTCCTTCACTCAGGAATATCTTTATAGGCCAGAAAATATTTTTGAGATCATATTCAATGACTTCATATGCTATTTGATTTACAAATATATGCATTTCCTTAACAAATCTTTTATCAGTAAGCATTTATTTTGTCTCAGTCTTTATTTGGCAAAAAAAAAAAAAAAAAAAAAATCTAAGTTGTTTACCTGTGTCTCTAAAACTTATTCAACATCATTTTATATTTTAGGATATTCTAGATTAAATTTATAAACATTTGTGAGAGTTTTGTTATGTTTCATTGAATGATGCACCTGAATTTGTTTTGACATTTTATACTCCTGGCAACTTTGTCCTTTTTCTCGTGTCCAACACTAGATTTCACATACCTGTGAATATTGTTATACTTTTGATAATTTGGCAGATTGTTTATATTCATAGATCTCTGCCTAATATTTAGCTTGAACATTTTTATGTATGCCTTTTAGCCATTAAAATTCATTGAATTAATTTTTACTTTAAGCTTATTCTTTTATTTTATCCTTAAAGTTTTAAGTTCCAGGGTACATATGCAGGTTTGTTACACAGGTGAATATATGTCATGGTGATTTGCTGCCTGAGATCAACCCATCACTTAGGTATTAAACACAGTATGCCTTTTCTATTCTTTCTGATGCTATATACCTCCCCAATCCCTGACAGACCCCAGTGTGTTTTGTTCCCTCTACTACTGTGTTCATGTGTTCTTACAGTTCAGCTCCCACTTATAAGTGAGAACATGCAGTGTTTGATTTTCTGTTGCTGCATTAGTTTGCTGAGGATAATGGCTTTGAGCTCCATTTATGTCCTTGCAAAGGACACGATCTCATTCCTTTTCATGGCTGCATAGTATTCCATGGTGTCTATGTACCACATTGTCTTTATCCAGTCTATCATTGATGAACATTTGGGTTGATTCCATGTCTTTATTATTGTGAGTAGTGCTGCAAATAACATACGCATGCATGTATCCTTGTAATAGAATGATTTATATTCTTTTGGATATATAGCCAGTAATGAGATTGCTGGGTCAAATGGTATTTCTGCTATCTGCATTCTTGAGGAATTGCCACATTGTCTTCCCTAATGATTGAACTATTTAAATTCCCACCAAGAGTGTAAAAGCATACCTTTTGCTCTGCAACTTCGTCAGCAACTGTTTTTTCTTGACTTTTTAATAATTGCCATCCTGACTGGTGCGAGATGGTATCTCATTGTGGTTCTGATGAACATGAATATGTTCATGAATATGAACATGAATATGTTTGTTGGACACAGGAATGTCGTCTTTTGAGAAATATCTGTGCATGTCCTTTGCCCACTTTTTAAAGATTTCTTTTCTTCTTTAAATTTGTTTATGTTCCTTATAGACCCTGGATATTAAGCCTTTGTCAGATGGATAGATTGCAAAAATCTTCTCCCATTCTGTAGGTTGTCTGTTCATTCTGTTGATAGTTTCTTTTTGATATGCAGGAGTTATTTAGTTTAGATTCTATTTGTCAATTTTTGCTTTTTTTTGCAATCACTTTTGGCATTTTCATCATGAAATCTTTGATAGTTCCTGATGGTATTGACTAGATTTTCTTCTAGAGTTTTTATAGTTTTGGGTTTTACATTTAAGTCTTAAATCCATCTTGAGTTAATTTTTGTATAAGGTGTAAGGAAGGGGCCCAGTTTCAATTTTCTGCATATGGCTAGCCAGTTATCCCAGCACCATATGTTAAGTAGGGAATTCTTTTCTCATTGCTTGTTTTTGTCGGGGTTGTCAAAGATCAGATAGTTGTAGGTGTGTGGTCTTATTTCTGAGTACTGTATTCTGTTCCATTGGCCTGTGTCTGTTTCTGGACTAGTACTGTGTTGTTTTAGTTACTATAGCATTGTAGTATGTTTGAAGTCAGGTAGTATGATGCCTCTAGCTTTGTTCTTTTTGCTTAGAATTGTCTTGGCTGTATAGGCTCATCTTTGGTTCCATATGAATTTTAAAGTAGCTTTTTTTTCCAATTCTGTGAGGAATGTCAATAGTAGTTTAATGGGAATAGCATTGAATCTATAAATTGCTTTGGGAAATGGGGCAATTTTCATGATATTGATTCTTTCTATCCATGCACAAGGAATGGTTTTCCATTTGTTTGTGTCCTCTCTGATTTCCTTAAGAAGTGGTTTAAGTTCTTCTTGAAGATGTCCTTCAGTTCCCATGTTACCTGTATTCCTAGGTATTTTATTCTCTTTGTAGCAGTTGTGAATGGGAGTTCATTTGTGATTTGGCTCTCATCTTGCCTTTTATTGATGTATAGGAATAGTAGCGATTTTTACACATTGCATTTTGTGTGCTTAGAGTTCCCTGAAGTTGTTCAACAGTTTACGAAGCTTTAGGGCTCAGACAGTGGGATTTTCTACATATAGGATCATGTTATTTGCAAACAAAGATAATTTGACTTCCTCTCTTCCTATTTGAATACCCTTTATTTTTTAATCTTGCGTGACTGCCCTGGCCAGAACTTCCAAAGCTATGTTGAATAGGAGTTGTGAGAGAGGGCATCCTTGTCTTTTGAAAGTTTTCAAGGGGAATGCTTCCAAATTTTATCCATTCAGCATGATATTGGCTGTGGGTTTGTCATATATGGCTCTTATTATTTTGAGGTATGTTCCTTCAATACCTAGTTTATTGAGCGTTTTTAACATGAAGGGATGTTGAAGGCCTTTTCTGTGACTATTGAGATAATCATGTGGATTTTGTCTTTAGTTCCATTTAAATGATGAGCGTATTCATTTTTTTTACTGGAGTATTCATTTTGGAAATTTTCTTTCTAAGCCTTTTTTATATATCATAATATTATCCTTTTCACTCTCTACTTTGCAATCCCCTTCTTTTGCTTTTTAATTTTCTTCGTAGTGCTTTTCAGATTTAAAAGAGGTTAATATTAATTTATTGAAGTTTATTGGTGCTTCTCTTTTTTATATCTGCCTTTGGTTTTAAAAAAATTTATTTTAAAACATGAAAGGCCTTGCTGTCTCAAAAATTGTCTTAGAGTACAATATATTCTTTTAGGCACTGCTAAGGCTATGATAAATCCAAGTTGTTTATTTATTATTGTAATTTTTTATGTAACAAGTGAGAGTTGTTACATCCATGATATATTGCAGGAACCGGTCATACTCTGTGATTTGGAGAGAGACCTGTTGCCCTAACAACTCAAAACGAGTGGAATTGCAAGCACAGAGCAGGGCTGCCTATGGACAGAGCCAACTGGGCCTTTGCCCCTGTGTGAGATCATATACTTCTATGTATCCTGATAAGCTTGTGGCACATATTGCTCCCAGGTGTCCTCTATTATGAATAACCTGGATCATGTAGGTCTTTCCTCCCACTGGGCATTCATGTGCTTCCCCTTGCATTTCCCAAAATCAACCTCCTGTGTGCTGACCCTCAGTTATACAACTGTAGAATTGTCTTTTAAATTAATTGAAGAATACTATCAACAATAAGTAACATTTTTGAGATTTTTTAAAAAACATGCCAGAGACTCCTGTAATCACCCTTCATGTATAAACTCATTAAATCTTACAACCATTCCATGAAGTAGACATTATTATAATTTTCTCAATTCAACAGCTGAGGAATTGTAGATTCAAGCTTTTAAAGTTATCCAGCTGGTGAGAGAAGAAGCCCTCTCCCCAACTTCTTGTACTAAACATCTTCACCCTCTCTCTGTGTACTTCATGATAGTCAAGTTCCCCAAAACTTATCTTTCTCTTTCTTTGTTGCTACCATGTCTAGGTCATGGCTGGCTAATATACTAAATCCACTCCAACCATGGCATCCTAACCTCCACTGGCATTAACTAAACCTACAATACCTTGTCATGGAAACAGACAGCGTCTGCTTTGGTCTCATAAGATTAAAATACAATATCTTAGAATACCTTCTCTATGTTTAGATATGTTCAGATACACTAATATATTACTGTAGAGTAACACTTTAGAGTATTCAGTACAGTAACTTGCTGCACAGGTTTGTACCCTAGACATGATGGGCTATGCTATATAGCCTAGGTGTGTAGTAGGCCGGACCATCTAGGTTTGTGTAATTATAGTCCATGATGTTTGCACAATGACAGAATTGCCTAGTGATGCATTTCTCAGAATGTGTCCCTGTCATCAATCAACATATAACTGTATATACTACGAATATGGCCATTTATTTTATAGCTAAAATATGTATATAGGCATACCTCAAAATGCAATAATTAATAATGAATTAATTGTGCTGGGTGGTGGATTGTGTATATTTTTTTCTCCCTTTTTCTGGATTATCATTTGTATTGATATGTTACTTTTAAAATTAAAAGGAAGAAAAAGAATCACCTTGTTTACATTGTTGTTTTCTATTTATTTCCTGTTCCCCACTGTATTACAGTGCCTTGAATGAAAATCATTTTATCCGGTATTCACTGAAAATATAATAACACCATAAACATTCTATTTGTGTAAGCCTGGTCTCGTAACAGGCCTAAAATTGTTTGGAAAGTGATATAAATGATTTCTCAGCTATTAACTTCCTATTTAGTAAATTATTATTATAATATAAAATTGGTACTCTTTTAGAACACAAGAATTATTTTACTTTCCAATCCTTCCTTTTTTTTTTTTTGCTTTCATAGCATTTATTACTAAATTAATTCCCAATGATTAAATAGCCCACTAAGAATATTGAGGCAATTTTAAAATTTAGAATTATTTGCACACTAACCAAATAACATCTAATATCACTTATTTTATTTGGATTGAATAAACCCATGTAAACAATACTCGATGTTTTTAAATTAAAAATAGCATTTTAACAGAGAAGACCAATTCTAAAAATGGGGGCAAAAGCTGAAGATATGTAATTGTTCTTTGTATAAATAAACATTTTGCTAAAATTGTATTACTTAGACTGGTTCATATAATAATTTTTCTTCCTCATTTTGATCTACTTTATTTTAAAACATGTCTAACTACTTTAGAGTAGAAACAAAATGCTATTTTTTAAATGTCAAGGCAATTTTACAACTTTCTCACTACTAAGTGATTTATCATAGACTGTGTAAAAATGATAAGGTGACAACATCCAGAGGCTGTCAGTGGAAAAAAAAAAAAAAGCTCCTTTAATACCATTGATCAAAAGAACAGAAGAATACTCAAGAATATCTCCCCTTCCTCATTAATTTTTATTCTAATAGCCATCTAGCATTTACCTGGTATGATACAAAAGAAAAAAATAATCACATACATGTTTCTTGCACTATCAACTCACAATATTTTGGGATGCTAAAACAGTGGTGAATATAATTGACAACCTCACCTCCAGCACCACCCCGAGTAGAGAAGTCAGTAATCTTCCCTCATTTCTCCCATTGCCACCAACCTTGAGATGACACTTATAAGTGAATCCACTGTTTCTGGGAAATCATATATGTAAATTCACTCCCTGAAAATTTCCTGTAAACTTGAGGAGAAAGCAGTCTGGAGTATAAAATCAACCCCACTTCCATGCTTTCATTAACTGATTATAATTTGGCCACTGGAAATAGCTACTCCTGGGAGAATTTTTCATTTTCCATTTTGACAGAAATGGTGGGTAATCCTTTAGTGCAAGTCCCATTAAACCTATCCCACAGGAAGTCTCATAAAATCACCTAGCTGCCACTGTGATGCTGCTGACCTTACAGAGAACCTGCCTGTGGTGTCACTGACTGTTTTAACTTCTTGGACATTTTACCTTTCTTTGATACAGAGAAGAGATGTGGGGAGGGGATAGGAGATACCCAGTTTCTATATCTTTATAGATTTTAGCTTTCAGCCTGCTCTTCTAATACAACATGACAGTGATGATTTCTTTCCAAAACTAATCCAAAGTTACATTAAATAGCCTGTTGATGTAGCAGTTTTTGAATATTTATATTATGCTATCATGTAGGTCATTGTATATAATTTTCATATTTCTGTGGAATATAACATGTATATAGCAGTCAAATAGAACAGAATCATACTTATTTCTAGAGTTTTACCATTCTTGTAAAACCAGCAAAAATATTTTTTTCAAATTGTCAGCCCTCAATATGGAGCAGATTTGACATTTTAAAGGCAATTTAAATGATTATTATTTGCCTAGTAAATTCTCAAGGATCCTTGTATGCTCACACACTTTGCAATGAGCTGAAATCATGTGAAAAGCAATGCACCTGGCATTTCTATCCAAAAGAGGTGTCAGGTTTAACTAAAATATACTTTTAAAAATTTCCTCACTGGTTTCAGCTTGATTTTAATACCATTTAACTCCTTAGTTAAACAAACAAAAAAATAACCATAAGAAATTGAATTTATGAGGTTCAAAGAAGTTTTGCTGGGCGCAACTAACGATTCCAGTCTGTCTTTGTTTTGCTGACTTATTAAGTGACATTTAGAATCGGATTAATTTTAGCCTCAACTCTTAAGTCCTCTTCACAATCAGAGTTGCTATTCACATAAGTCTTTCTTTGAACAGGCTTCAGAAACAAAGACTACTTATTCTACTTAGCTCTGATTAAGAATTTTACAGCACACAGGGACAAATCATTGGGTTCGGACTTTTCAACTAGAGTACAGGATGAAGGGCAACAAAGCCAACATGTCCATCTACTTTGAAGCTGCCATAATAATATTAAGTTTTTAACTCGCATAAAGAACAAATCTATTCATTACTCTTTTCTTTCTTTGAGACATTTTTTAAGATTACAGACAGGCTGGATCTTCAATAACTGGAACAGGGCTTATGAAGTTGGTTTGAGGCCATCCTAAGACTGTCTTTGTTACTGTTACCCACCTAGAAATACTTGTATTGTTAGAAGATTGGAACACTCTGCTGATTGCCTTCCACTCCTCAGCTGTCTCTCTCCTATACGTACCTTGTAGAACTGCAAAACCACATTGCTCTCAATGTGCCACTTCTGTAAGCTACTTCTTTCCATAATTACCCCTTATTGTAGGACTGGTCTGGTTTCTTTAACTGTTACCCAGTGTTTCCCACTTTCTGCCCCATCTGTATACAGACATTTCATTAAGTGATGCCACTGTGTTTATTGAGTTTTCATTTTACTGTTGTTTTAAGTACAGAGTTAAAATTTATGGGTCGTTTTGTATAAGACCAGTCAACAAGGTTAAAATATTAAATAATACAAAATGATATATTGGCATTAAATATGCACTAGGCTCTGTTTTAAACACACACACACACACACTTATTGAATCATCAAAACAACTTCATGTACCCCCCATTTGACACAGAAGGAAACTGAGGCACAGAAAGCTGAATGATTTTCCCAAGGTCAAAGAGCTGGGTGAGGACTCATACCCAAGCAACATGGCTCTGAGAGACTTTCAGTTTACCCACTACATTCTGCTGCCTTATTAGCTACTTCTGGGTGTTAAAAATTATGCCAGGCTATCAAAACCTTTAAAGAATGTCCTCATTCATGCAGCTGTAGGGCATATTAATGAAAGGAGGAGGATGAAAGGTGACAGTCTCCTTCCCCAGAGGCCTTATGCAGAACCTTTATTGGATATCATGCTGCAAGATTTGTGTCTCTCCACTTTCAGCTTTCCTTTTGCTTGCGACGTTTATTGTTACTTTTTCATTCCTGCAGCACATGTAGTTTGCATTCTGTTATTTCCATCTCAGCTACCCATAGTCAGCCATTGGTACATAATAATGCTTCGTCTTTGATGAGGGTAAAGGAAACCTTTCTCACATACTAAGAGGCTCTATTTTTCCTCCTGTAACTGCCAGCCTTATTTTGGCTTCTCCTCTTTAGTGTTTTGGCAGGCATTTGTCATAAATCTTTGTGACTTTTGTTGAGAAAGTAATAATTTATTATTCTGGTTCCATTTTAAAGAATAGAGTTACTTCCTTAGTGGCACCTTCACTCTCTTCCTTAGTTACAATTCGTTCAATTCACTGCCTCTAAGTTGGTGGTGTATCTCTAACACTTGGCCTTGTTTTTTCTAGAAGTAATTCAATTACCTTTCTCCTGTCTTCAACTCTTTCTATTACTTACATTGTGCACAGTAAAGCACAACGGTCAGAAAGTGAAACTGAAGGTACCTGCAGAATGAAGGAATGTATATATAATGTTATTAATATGATGGTAATATATTATTGATATATTACATCTAATATATCTTGTGTATGTGTATGTATAGAAGCACTCACCCACTGTGCCACTCCACACGTATATTTCAGAGGAGGATTTTGTAGAGTTCACTTTGAAATCACAGTCCTCTTGAAACGTATCCTTGTAATTCAAAGAACAAGAGCCCATTCATTACAATGTGAGTCGAAAGGTGGCATCAAGTTATCCCATGGACAGCCCTGTACTGTAAATGAGGCACAGCTTTGTCACAGAGGCTGGAATTAAAATTGGAAAACTGGAAAAGCAGATACTTCTCTGTTTCTTGAGGATAAACCTGGTGTGTGTTCTCTCTCTGTCTGTGTCATCTGCTTATCTCTACTTTATCTCTCTCCATCCATCAATTCTGTTTTCCCATAATCCCAGATAAGGATGTAAATCCCAGCCTCTGTTATATAACAAGAATAACTTAATTGTTCCTAATTCAAAATGTTTTCTACTTTTATTTAGGTTTGGGGCTACTGTGAAGGTTTGCTAAATAGGTAAACTTGTCACAGGGTTTGTTGTACGGATTATTTTACACCCAGGTATTAAACCCAATACCCAATAGTTATATTTTCTGCTCCTTTCCGTCCTCCCACCCTCCACCCTCACATATACCCCAGTGTCTGTTGTTCCCTACTTTGTGTTTATAAGGTCTCATAATTTAGCTCCCACTTATAGGTAAGAACATGCAGTATTTGGCTTTCTGTTCTTGCATTAGTTTGCTGAGCATTATAGCCTCCAGCTCCATCCATGTTCCCATAAAAGATATGCTCTTGTTCTTTTTTATGACTACCTAATATTTCATGGTGTATATGTACCTTATCCAATCTGTCATTGATGAGCATTTAATTTGATTCCATGTCTTTGCTATTGTGAATAGTGCTGCAGTGAACATTCCCCTGCATGTGTCTTTATGGTAGAATGATTTATATTCCTCAGCGTATATACCAAGTAATGGAATTGCTGGATCAAATGGTAATTCTGCTTTTAGCTCTTTGGAGGAATCGCCATAATGCTTTAAACAATGCTTGAATTATTTTACACTCCTAGTAACAGTGGGTAAGTGTCCCCTTTTCTCCACTATCTTGCCAGCATTTGTTATTTTTTGTCTTTTTAATAATAGCCATTATGACTGGTGTGAGATGATATCACATTGTGGTTTGATTTGCATTTCTCTGATGAAGGGTAATATTGAGCTTTTTTCATATGCTTGTTGGCCACATGTATGTATTCTTCTGAAACATGTGTGTTGATGACCTTTGCCCACTTTTTAATGGGGTTGTTTGTTTTTTCTTGTAAATTTAAGTTCCTTGTAGACTCCGGATATTAGACCTTTGTCAGATGGATAGATTGTAAAAGTGTTCTTTCATACTGTAGGTTGCTTGTTTACTCTGTTGATAATTTCTTTTGCCGTTCAGAAGCTCTTAAGTTCAATTAAATCCCACTTGTCAATTTTTGCTTTTGTTGCGATTGCTTTTGGTATCATTGTCATGAAATCTTTGCCTGTTTCTATGTTTAGGATGGTATTGCCTAGGTTGTCTTCCAGGGTTTTTATAGTTTAGGGTTTTACACTTAAGCCTTTAATCCCTCTTCATTTAATTTTCTGTATATGTCAGGATGGGGTCCAGCTTCAGCCGGTTATCCCAGCACCATTTATTCCCCGTTTTGTTTCTGTCAGTTTTGTCAAAGACCAAGTGTTTGGAGTTATTTCTGGGCTCTCTATTCTGTTACATTGGTCTAGGTGCCTGTTTTTGTACCAGTACAATGCCGCTTTGGTTACTGTGGCCCTGAAGTATAGTTTGAAATTTGGTAATGTGCTGACTCCGGCTTTGTTCTTTTTGCTTAGGATTGCTTTAGCTTTTTTGGCTCCATATAAATTTTAAAATAGTTTTTTTCTAGTTCTGTGAAGAATGTCTTTGATATTTTAATAGAAATAGCATTGAGTCTGTAAATTTCTTTGGGCAGTATGGCAATTTTAATGATATTGACTCTTCCTATCAATGAGCATGGAATGTTTTTCTATTTGTGTCATCTCTGATTTCTTTGAGCAATGTTTTGTAATTCTCATTGCAGAGATCTTTCACCACCCTGATGAACTGTATTCTTGGGTACTTTATTCTTTTTTCTGGCAATTATGAATGAGATGCTTTTATGATTTGGCCCTCATGTGGCTGTTGCCGATGTATAGGCATGCTGGTGATTTTTGTACATTGATTTTATATTCTGAAACTTTGATGCTTTTCAGGTGAAGGAGCTTTTGGGCCAAGACTATGGGGTTTTCTAGATACAGAATCATGTCATTTGCAAAGAGAGACAGTTTGACTCCCTCTCTTTCTACTTGTATATCCTTTATTTCTTTCTCTTGCCTAATTGCTTTATTTAGGATTTCCCTTAATACAAGTATTACTTAATTCATATATTTAATTTAAATACTTATGAGAAAGAGAATTTGATTAAGTTTTCCTGCCCTTTTTTTTTTTTTTTTGACGGAGTTCCACTGTTGTTACCTAGACTGGAGTGCAATGGCGCGATCTCGGCTCACTGCAACCTCTGCCTACTGGGTTCAAGCAATTCTCCTGCCTCAGCCTCCCAAGTAGCTGGGACTACAGGTGTGCACCACCATGCCCAGCTAATTTTTGTATTTTTGGTAGAGACGGGGTTTCACCATGTTGACCAGGATGGTCTCGATCTCTTGACCTCATGATCCATCTGCCTCGGCCTCCCACAGTTCTGGGATTATAGGCGTGAGCCACCGTGCCCGGCCTTTCCTACCCTTTTGTTATTTTCTCCAGCATCTCACATCCATCTTTGGTTCATCTCAGGTGAAGTCAGCTCTGGTTCATGTCTGCTGGTACTGACAAAGCATCAGAGGCTGTGTGTGTGTGTGTGTGTGTGTGTGTGTACATAGTAAATGAGAAATGAATTTTAAAACTAAACTACCAAGTTCTTCTTTCAGTAATTATATTGTTAATCCATCCTAATCTGTCTTCTCAATGAGCATTTGGCCATTAAATTACACTGTGATGATGTACAGTACTATATTTTAGGTTATATCCATTACAAACTAAAGTAATGTCATGATATAAGGAGTAATCAGAAGAACTTTTGAGCCTCTATGTTATTATATGAAAGGAATCAAAACAATAACAAAAAACAAAAGTGATAAATGAAGATTAAATGAGATGAAAGGTGCCTGTCACAAAGTTTGACATATAACTTGAGATTAAAAATGATAGCTATTATTTTAATAACACTAAATATATGATCCTGTTCCCAGAAGTTTGTTTGGAAATTAAGAACTCTTATATCCAGATAATTCCCCACCCCTCTCTACACATCTGAATTTTCTCATTTTTCAACGTTCACCTCAATCACTACATCCTATATGAAGATACAGCTTGCCAGTCAAGGCTCACACATGAAACCCAATTCACTTTGTTTTTCATCAGGTGCCTCATTTGGATGATATACAATATATGTTGGATGATGTACAGTTATTTGTAATCTTGCATATTATTTACCTTTATTATTTGTTATTTTATTTTTGTATGTCTATAGCCCCCCATTCTATACCTAAATTGTCAATATCCTGAAAACAAGGCCTAAGACGTATAGCCCACACAATATTCATCATTGCATCGTATGTTTGTGGGCAAGCATTCACATGATTTCTAGCAGGAATTTGTACATAACTAATTTTAAAAGGAATTTCTTCAGTGGAATGGGACATGGAAATAAAATAAATTTTAATAAAAATTTAATTTGAGATTCCAGTTTGCTAAAAACTATTTTCTATGATGTAATGTTTGTTGTCCTCAGTTATATAACTAGGTTTTTAGGAATTGTAGGACTACTGAATAACTGAATACCCTTGTTCTTTTCTGTCTTAGATTTTAGTTTATTTCTGCAACACACACACACACATGCACACGTACACACCAGATTTCCTTTCTAAAATGATCATTAACTCCAAAATTTTTGTGGCAAACCATAACTATACATAAATGCCTCAATTTTGCTAGTAAAGTTCAATTTTGAAACTTCACGTGCTTTGATCATATGATGTTTATGTGTTGCAAATGTGACCAATCATTTCCACAAGAGAGGTGGATGAAAAACATTCCAAATAATTATTTAGTTTTGAAACCTTCTAGGCAAAAATGTAGCTTATTTTAGTCATTTGATTTTTTCTGCGCCATGTTTTTAAAAACATTACTTCATTGTTTGTGTCATACCAGTGTTTCCAAAACTTCTACATTGATAATAATCACTTGGAACACTGAGCTTCCTGTCCCTCCCTGGGAGATTCTGAATCAGCGACTCTTAGGTGGAAGTTGTAATTTTTCCAACAGCTTGTATTTTTAAACGTAACTTATATTCTGGCAGAATTTTATATTTTTAAAAAGTACCTCAGGCAATTCTTAACATCCAGGAAGTTTGGAGAAGTTTGGGAAGTTTGGAGAAACATCTGTATGAAGCAGTTACCCTTGTAGTCTGTTTCCATCATTCCTAGTTACAAATCTTTGTGGGCATCACAACCACTAGTTTTATTGAGAATGTCTCTTGCAAGTTGGATTTAAAGCCAGCAAAGCAATTAGAATTTATTAAGCTTCTTTTAATGGCAAAGAAAATCACTCACCTAAAAAGTATTGTTAGCTATTGAATTGTCTTCATTGCTTATAAGATATTTTGAATTAGAACAATTTACTGTCTTCCATCAATTATGTAGGGATCCTGCAGATTTTATTTCAGGGACTGTACTGAAAGCACATTACTTATCTATGGGTTTCTTTTGTTATTGTTGCTATTTCCGTCCTTTCTTTGAAATAATTTGAAATTGGGTTTCCGGGAAAAGTGGATAGCTTTGAAATTCAGTAGTATCATTCACGTTCACTTCACATGAAAATAAGAAAACGGGAATCATATGTTCCTCAGTTCTTTTCAATATATACCTACCTCTGGTATTTTTTATCTTTTTTTTTTTCATTTTTGATGCCTATTTGTGGTTCAATCTATAATCCACAACCATTACAGGTATTCTTGGGGCTTGAATATATTTGAACTGCTGAGCACAGAGCCTGTGAAGGAGAGGATGCTCACAGTGGGAAACCATTTTCCTGAGAAATAAATGTACTACAGAAAATTTAAATTGCTTCCATTTTTTCACAGTGCTATGCTGTTTATAAAACTAAGACATGTTCTGCGTTGTTATTTCTAGGTTTGAATCCCCTCTGTTCTAAGAGCTTGACAATTCTCTTTCTTATTTCTATTTTGAGTAAGGAGTTTGACCAAATGTTCTTCCTGGTACAGCTGCCTAGACCCTGCTGTTTTGGCTTTGTGCTTCAATCTCACAGTGTGTGTGTGTATATATATATATTCATATATATATATATA